ATAAAACACTCAGAAATACAGCATCACAATCACATCATTTTACACCATAGACACAAAGACAAACAAGCATACCAAATTTGAGGAAGGCAGCATTTGCAAAATAGGACGTCTAAATATTTTTTATATATGATACCTTGACTTGGCCTGTGCAGCTGTGTTTTCCTGTAGAACAGCATGTAGGCACTCTCTTTGCCCTGGAATTGCTTCTCTATGTCTGACTCCCTRATGGAGGTCACAGCAGAGTCGTTCAGGTCAAACCAGTGGCTTCCCTGCTGACAGACAAGGAGGACGAATTGAGACAAAACAGGCAGAACAAAAAAAAATCAAAACCCGAAATTAGGAACAAAAATCAAATCTCCAAAAGGCTGGAAAAGGTTGTTTAAATACCTGTGGTGTTGATGAAGGCTTTAGGTTGTGGTCTAGCTGCTGATCTGAACTTCCCAGGTCAGGGAATATTGAAGCCTCAGAGTTCGTAGCTGGTTCTGCTGGAGCGCAGGTCTCAGTCACTGGTGGGTTTGTCTTCAGCGCCACTCGAGTACCGTCTGACACCAGCATGAACACATCACTGTGGGACTGTAGGAACTGAATGACAGAGAACAGAAACTGAATMACACTTCAGAGAAATAATAAAATGTTGCCAGATCAGAAATATTTATACCTTTCCAATGGGTCCATACTGTTTTCTGAACTTTTTGCTCCAAGATGAACCAATTTTATCCATGAGTTTCTGACCCAGCTGATCCACCAGAACACTCTTCAATGATTCCTAATGGGCAGCAAAGGGACYCAAGTTTATAGATGTCATATAACATAAAAAAGAAAGAAAAAATCAGGCACAAGAATAAGTATAAAAGTTTTAGAGTACCTGGGCAATTATTGCAGTGAGAACAGACAAAGGATCATCTTCTTGTAGTTTTGGTTCACAGGAATCCTTCACCTCCTCCTTGATTTTCTTCTGAGATTTGGGTTTGCAGTCGTCCTCCTAAAAATGAGAAATAGAAAATTCAATAGGAATGCAACAATAACGAGTCAGTACAACAGGAAAATAAAAATCAAAAGCCAAAACCTCGTGTGGGTTTTCATTTTTATTATCAAATTATTTTAAAGGCCCTGTCATACTATTACATTTTACACAACTTATGATGACGTTTGAAAGTTTTATTACGACTATATTACTCATATAGGTTGTATATTTGATTTTATCATTGGCATTACAGTATGTATACAAAACAAGCTTCTAAGATTTTTGTTTCTTTAKTYCATCTTCAGTGTAGACRTCTTTAGTGTTGGACAAAATTTTCARAAGTTAWAACGTCTAAAACGTTATAGTGTGACWGGGCCTTTAATGGAAATAACTTTAATTAACGAGGAAAAATAAAAGCATTCCTGCTCAAGTTTAACACAGTGAGAGTTGTAAAGAAAAGTGAGGTCGGTACTGTCGGATCTTTAATAAAGAAAAAAATAAATATATAAAATCATCTCTCTCTCTCTCGTACATTTTTGTCCAATCTGAGCTTTAAAAATAGTGGCAGATGTTACAAGATTTTTTTTCTTCCCTCTGCTTCCTTTCATTTCATTTATAAATTGTGCTTTTTATTGTACATAGATTTTTCTTTGTTTTAATGAA